CGATCACTCTTGAGACAGGATTGTTCCTGCAGCCTGTTCTCAACAGCCTGTCTCCAATAGGAGATCAATTAGGCAAGTTTCTATCCACCCTTGAAACCTCTTGGTCCATATTTCTCTGCTCCACCCCAACCTCCCCATTTGTTTGCTGGTACTGATGCAGCCCATCAATCCCAAAAGCAAGACAAATAACAGTAAAAAGGACTTAGGTACCCACATTCCAGCCGCATCCCATTTCAGACTCCTAAATCAAGAAGATGCGACAATAAAAAGCCTTGCAGAGCTGCTGCTGAAGGAGCTGGTTCTCCACAAGCATTAGGCTCCAAACTCAGTAAGGTGAGCAGAAGCCTATGATCCCAGATCGTGCACGCTGACTGGCTTTTCTGGCTCTGTGGATTTAGTTGGGATCTTTTAAACTCTCCAGAGGAAACCTGCTTTGAAAGGGCTACTGCAGCACCAGCAAAGGGATGCTCCATGGTCTCTACCCCTCTTCTTCATCAGCCTGATGCCCACCTCATGCCAATCCAGGATCCAGCAGTCAGGTACCAAGCTCCAAGCCAGCTCATCTCAATTTTTATTCCACACAGCTAGAATCACCTCAACTACCAACTCTGCAGGAAAACAAGAGTATCTAACTGCAGTACAGGGACCAATCGACCCAAACATACCTGAAATCACCCCAAACCCCTCCCCGGACCAGCCCATCTTTCACAGCAAGCATCATTTTGTGCAGCACTTAATACAGTTTGGTCCCAATTTCTCCTTGGATTCTTTGACACTAACTAACACAAAATGAGCAGCATCCCTTTGAGCTGCTGCAGTCTGGTGAGGAGAGCACTGACTTGGCACTGGTGCTTGAATGAGCCAGACCGAATCCAACTGGCTTCACTCGCAGTTCCCTTCAATGGCAGTTGCACAAATCAGGAGCATACTTAAAGCTCCAGCCCCACATCAGCAGAATTAAACACTTCCCTTCCAACAGCAATAGTAACAGCAAGCCAGATTGAAGTTACGTTTGGAACTGGCACTAAAAAAAAAAAAAGATTAATTAAAGTAAAAATATAACAGAACAGGGGTATAAAAAGGAATTTGGTAAAACAGTTGGTTTGTATTGAGTTAGCAAAATTCCCAAACAAAAACACACACACACAGTGGAATTACTCTGCCATTAGTGACGGCGATGATAAGTCTGGTGCTTACAGTTACTCCCAGGCTCAACCCATCCCAGCCCATGGCACAGAGCCTCCCGTCTGCAGCCACCACAAATCCCAGTGCAACCCAGTGCTGGGAATGTCTCATTCATTTAGTTTGATGTCAGGTTCACAACGGGGACAGCTGATTATCTGATGGGAACACAGGAATATACCCCCCCCCAGCCCCAGCATTCAGGGGTCCTTTTAAGAACGCCCTTTCCTGCAGCAAAGCAGCACCTGGGTCTCTATACAACTGCTGTCCCATAAAGTCCCTGTTCCGGGAATAAGTAAAATAAATTAAATCTAAACATATGTAATAAATTATGAGTATGTAAATATAAATACTAAAAAATAAATTAAAATGCTTTAAAAGCTAAATGGTGAGGAAATAAACACACTAACAGGTATTGACTACAGAGCCCTGAGGCAGCCCCATATATCAGAGCCTTCACCAGGGCTTGTTTCACTGAGGTGGGACCAGGAATGAGCCTGTCCCTCCCTGCAAAGCCCATCTCATCCCTGTGCAATGGGCAAGTCGTGAATTACAGTGTCCCAGGCAGAACCATGGGTGATAAGTTTCATCTGGGAAGTTCTGCAATCAGGAGGAGGGGATTAGCCCATAAATCCCAACTGGGGGATGCTTTAATAACTTGCTCAGAAAGAAGAAAAAGCAAATTAAATACAAAAAGAAATCAATAAGCACAGGACAACCAAGCCCAATATTAAATATCTTGGAAACAAAGGGAGCTCTGTGGAATAAATCAACCCCCAAACTCGAACGATGCAAGGCAAAGCAATCATCCACTTAATCCTGATACTCAGTTACAGATAGATGGGGTTGTTCCTGCAAGGGAAAGCAAATACCATCTTGGAGCATTAAATTGCCCAATTCTGACAGCTTTAGATCAGAAATTGGAAGAGGTTTCTGACGGACACCAACTGCTGAACAGTTGCTCCCCTTTGAGTCAAGGGTTTAATGTGCACAGAACCACCACATAGGGGAAGGGACAAGATTTTAGGTCCAGTCTGTGGACATAAGTAAAGCCACATACACTGACTGAGGGGTACAACCATCCTCATGCAGCTGGAGAACACTGTCCATAGCCAACAGCCCCTGCCCAAGCCAGAGAATAGCTCAAACCTGAGCACTCATGAATAAAACAGACCAAGCCCAACCAAACCCCATTAGTCCTGCGGAGCGCTGAGCTCCACAAATCAGTGCAAGCCCCTGTATTCACATACATTGGGGAACCCAAAAGCAGTGGTACCTACACATGTTGCCTTTGCTGTGCCTGCTCTCATGTAGCCCTTTGTGCAATTCCCACCGTACCCTAATGGCATAAACAAAGTGAGGTTGAAAGGAGAGGCAATCTCTTGTAAGAGATGCACTATGAGTATAAAAGGAGACCAGCTCTCTCTCATCCACAGCCTTTTCTTCTGCTTCAGATCTAAGGAAGCACTTGTTTGCTCAAAAACAAGTCTGGTTTGGTCTTGTTTGCTTTTCTTTTACCCAGCGAAAGCTATAACCCTGCAAGCATTGCCTCACGGTTATCTTTTGAGCCAGAAAATGCTTTTTGAGCATCCAAGTAGGTATAAAAACTGCAAAACACTCTTTACGCTATCATTTAATCAGTTTGCATTTGATCCTTCGCACCCACTTGGCTTGTATCTGTGCCCAGCTCAAACCACACAGTTCTCTCACCCCTCACTGGTGTTATTCCCTCTCAACTCAGGAGGAAAAGCAGAAGCTTCAGCTAACCCAGACCCAAAGGAACGACCTGGGCTGCCCAACTCTCAGCCCTCACAGCAGCTGCCAAGCCTTGGGTCTGGCACCTTGATCCAAGCCAACGTGCCACAGGAGCGAGCTCTCTGGGCACACACCAGAGCCCAGAGGAGCTGTGCCCAGCATCTCCCATTCCCACTCACAGGTGGGAAAGCTCCTCATTCTTTACTCAAGGACAACGTAGAGGTCAATCTCTTCCGCTTTAAAACTGAGAGGAGGATGAATGAGCCATGATGGAGGAGTTGGCACTAACCCCCCTCACCCAGCTCCATGCAGCAACCTGGCACAGGGAAGGCAGGTCTAACTGCTCCCCATGGCACCCAGAGCTCCCATCTCCCTCCACCCCAGTGTCCCCCCAGGGCCATATACCCTTTGGGATGGGAAAAAGGGAAAGAATTCAACTCTATTTCCTCAGCTGAGCGATTTCAAGTGACAGCACAGGTCTGATGGGAGACGGGAAGATGGGAAGTGCTCCCCTGTGCCCCAGGCCAGGTCCTAGTGTGCCAGAGCTCCCAGTAAGACTCTTGGGACTGACACTCACCCATCTCCTCCTCTGCTACCCTTGAGAGGCAGCTCTTCACATCTGTGCAGGGTGGTTGGAGAAGACCACAGTCACCAGCCCACCTTGGTGGTACAAAGAGCTGCTGCAGAGCACTGAGTAACCAGTTACATCAAAGAGCCTGCCCTCAACTCCTGCATCACTGCCCACAGCATCCTTCACCAGTGTCAAGACAAAACCAAGCACCAGGCTTGATGTTTCTTGGGACACCATGGGTCGTGCTGCCTCCCTCACTGCATCATGAACAAGAGCTCATCAAATCCTGCAGCCAGGCCCTGCTGAGGGCTGGCAAACCTCATCACACCAGTGAGCTGGGGAACTGGAAGAGGGAGGCCGGTCCTCGTGGCCCAGAGGTTCTGCCTGTTACTCCCAAGTTGCCTTATGCCACTGTATGGGTTTGCAGGCTTGTCCTGCTAGAAAGGGTCCATCTCAACGTGCTATTTCATTTATGTCATTTAAAGTGAGGCACTTCTGTTCACCTTTGCAGCAGCATACGGTAACTCCACAGTCCTAGGCAGCTCACTTCATCCCATAGGGATTTTCTCTCTCCTCCCCTTTAGCAATGTAGCAGCCAGCTCGGCTGATGTGATAAGTCCAAAGAGACAATTTCCTCTGATTTTAGGCATGCATCTCAGGCAGCACTCACAGAACTGGGAATTCAACTCCTCTCCTGCATGCGGAGCAGCAACAGCTCAAACTATAGTTATCTCTCTACAGACACCAGCACCACTCCCAGCAGCAGGAGTGTTTAATCACAGCGTACACCTCTCCCTCCTAGATAACTGCGGAGATTAAAAGAGCAGAATATTCCAGCACAATAAACACCCTGCTGCTATCAATGAAGTATGAAAGCATCATTCAAGAGAGCCTGGTTTCAGCTCTTCATTTAGAGCTATTGCCATTGCGTATCTCCTCTTACCGGCTGTAGCTTGCAAACAGTCCCATGGGAAGGTTTTCAAGCAGAGATACTCCTGGTGACTTGGAATGCAGGGACTGAGTTCAGGGGAAATTCCTGCCTGGAGCATCTGGGCTCACACAAAGGGGAGCAGGGGCCTCCTAGGAAGTGAAGGCGCCGGCTCCAATTACCAAAGCTCATCGTTTGCAAACCAAATCAGGCTGCCCAGCCCCACACAGCTGCGCGGGGGGAGGCTCTATCCCACCGGGAACGCACTGGGATCGGGCGCCAAACTCCCACCTCGGGAGCCCAGACCGAAGAAACTTTGCTTCCTACCCGGAGAGCAGGGAAGCAACAGGGGAAATGTGACCGAAGCAGCCGCGATGGCTGCACAATTACCTGTTTAATCCAAAACTAAGAGGGCAGCCAGCCTTTAACACCCACCCGCTCTGCCGATGGCCACAACTACCCTGAAAGCATCAGCTGCAGTCCGGGGGAGAATGAGCGGTCGGGATCACGGGCAGGGATCGCTTGGGGATGCTAGGAGGACCAGGGGGGTGCGGGAGAACTCACCGCGGAGAAGTTGTGGGGCCCGCAGAGCTCGCCGCGGTACTTGCAGGAGAGCAGCATGTCCTCCAGCTGGTGGCCCAGGCGGTCCATGAACTCGGCGCTGATGCCTTCGTAGTGCCGGGGCGGCAAAAAGAGGCGAAAATCGGCCAGTTTGGCGAACCAGCGCAGCCGCGCCTCGTCGCCCCGCAGCAGCTCGGTGAGCAGCGGGCGGGCGGTGCGGTTGGGCAGCAGCAACCCCAGCCAATGACCCGCGTAGTAAAGATCCCCCTTGGAAAGCCGGGGGAAGCGGAGCGGGTTGTTGTTGCAGAGCGTGACGGCGGGGAAAGGCAGCTGCCGGCTCCACTCGGTACGCACTTGGGTGTGCGACGGGAAGGAGAGCCAGTGCAGCAGGCGGTTGGAGGACCAGGACAGCAGCAAGCCCAGCGCGGTGCAGAACGCCAGCACCCACAGCGCCCGCCGCGGCAGCGCCGCCCGCCGCGAGCACATGTGCCGCAGCCCGTGCAGCCGGGTGCGCAGCGGCGGGGCCCGGCACCCCCGCGCCATGGGCGCTCCCCGCCGCCGCCGCCGCCGCCGCCGCCCCGGGATCAGTGCGAGCAGCGCCGCTCCATGCCGAGCCCCGCCGAGCCCCGCGCCGCGGCCGGCAGCGGCCCCGAGCGGCGGGGGGAGCGGGCGCGGGCCGCCCGCCGCACCGGCACCGAGCGCTCCGCCGGGCAGCAGTTCCGGCAGCGCGGCATGCCGGGCCCCGCTGCCAACGCCTCCCCGCGCTCTACGGGGGGCAGCGGGGCCGCCCCGCCGCCGGGCGAGCCTCCCGCCGGGCCGCGCCGCTCACATGCTGCCGCACCCCCCGCTCCCTTCCCCACCGCGACCCCGCTACCGGGCTCCCCCGCCCCGGGTCCGCTGGTGCTCCCCGGCACCGACCGCCTCCCCGCGGGGTGAGCGCGGCGGGACCCCCCCCTCCCCAGGCCGGCCGCCTACCCCCTCCGGCCCCCGCCGGTCCTCATGCTGCCCCGGCCGGGCGGCCGCTGCCCGCCCCCTGGCAGAGCCCTGCGCGGCGATGAGGAGGAGGAGGAGGAGGAGGAGAGGAGCGCAGCTCGCCCGAGGTGCCAGTCCCGGCTGCAGCGGCCAGCCCCGCCACTCGGCGCCAGCCCCGCTCGGGAGGCGGAGGGAAGGAGGGAGGCTCGGCCCCGATCGCGCCGCTGCTTCAGTAGAGCAGCCCCCCCCTTATCGCCCGGCAGCACCGGGGGGGGATCTGCTCGCTGCTCCCGAACCCGCCGATGGCACCGGCTGGGACTGGGGGAGCCGCCTCCCTCCCTCCTCCCGCTGGAGTTTTTCAGCATCCCCGGGGGGAAACACGATCGCGCAGCCACAAACGAAGCCCCCAGACACCCGTGTGTGTGTGTGTAGGTCTCAATAGGCTGCTCGTAGCGGTTGTTCTCGGGGGGAGGAAAGCGGGTTATTATTCCGCGGGAGGGGGAATGATGCTTTTTCTTTTCCATGGCAAAGATACTCTATGGTTCTCTGTGGAGAAGCGGACTCAAGGAAGCATCACCCCCGACCCGACCCTTGCTATGCATTTGCCCGTGCCACAACGCTGCCCTTTGGGGGACCGAGGGCTCATTTTGCACCGGACACGCAAAAAGCAAGCCCCTTTCCCCCAACACCTCGATGAGACACCAGTAACTTGTGCTACACGTTGGCATCTCAGCGGGCTTGCTTAGCTGTAATCTCTGCAAAGCAGCTTGCTGTTACCTTCATTCTGATTTTGAATAGTACTGAGAAGCATCCCTCTAATTGTGTCCAATTAAGCTGTAAGTGGCGATAACTGCTTTGAATCCCCTCTGATGTTGGGTGTTTTTTCTCTCTGAATTCATTTTCCATGTGCATTTTGATCCGTTATATATTTTCACCCAATAGATGGAGTCATTACAGCCTGCTTGGCTCCAGCCCCCGTTGGGAGAGTTTTTGGCTGTGGCAAAGCTGCGAACCCCGATGTGGGGTCAGATCCTTTTCAAACCCAGCAAGACGGCTGTGACCTTTCTTAAGCCGACTGGGAAAAGGGCAGGAGTCCCCATGCTCATCCTAACGCTGGGTCTAGCAGCTGCCATTGCGCCTCCCAGCCCGGTTTCGAAGCAGAGCTCGGCTTTTTTCCTGGCTCCTGTTGAAATCAGTGGGAGCTTTTCCCCTTGGCGCACTCGCAGGGTAATGAACATCCCGACTGCTTCGCCACGAGGCCGTCGGAGTTTGTTACACCCGTGATATATTGACACAAACCCGAGGAAATGAAAGGTGCCTGGCTATAAACAGCCTCCCATACTCCCTCCCACACACCTCATCGCTACTCTGCAGCAAAGGCAGGTTCTGTGGCAGCGCCTGGACTCTGTCCACTTGCTTGTTTTCAACCTCTTCCCCTTCTCTAAGGGGTTTTTATCATCTTGGTGGGTTTCTTTCAGGTGCAGGCAGCTCAGCAAAAAGGGGTTGTAAAGGAAAGCATAGCAGGCTTGCGTGGAAAGCTGCTTTTCCCCTTTAAGTGCACCCACTCTGAATGAGCTTCTCAAACCTCCCTGATTTGACTGATGGTAAATAGGGGTAGGGTGGCCAAGGCTGACTTCACCCCGTGCTGCAATTCAAGAGCTTCCCATGAAAAGGTTCTGAACAAAGCAGAGGAAACCTCATGACCATAAAACCCAACCCCTGCACGGCTGGTGTGGTGCTGCTTCACCCCGCCTGGCCCCCCGCTCCTTGGAAACCATCCCCGTTTTGTGAGTTACTGGGGAAAGCAGCTCCCATTCCATGCACTCAGTTCCCATTCCTGAGCACTCGCTTCATCAGAGTCCTGGTTAATTCTTCTCGCAGCCAGAGCAGCTTAAAAGCTTATTCGGCTTAATGCATGGATGGAACAATAGAGCTGGAATCAATAAATATTGCTGGTTAATCAACAAGTCTCTTTTAGAGTTATCCCTTGGGATGGGTGAGTTTGCTGCTTCTGTTGCAGAAAGGATTGGGATGGGGAAAACGGGGGGGGAGAAACTAAGGGCATAATTTTGAGCGAGTCCTACCCTTTCTCTCCTCCTGGTAACCTGTGTGCCCCTGGAAGGTATGGAAAAGACAAACATTCTAAACCAAAAGCATCACCTTCTTTGGAAACTTCATTTCCACTTCAAACATTGACTCAGGTTAAGACAAAAAGGATTAAATAAAAGCTTTACAACCCCCAGGAAGTAAATCACAACACTTTGTTCCGGCTGCATCCTTTTGTTGTTATTATTTAGTTCATCCCAAAAGGGAGCAAAAGGAGGGGAAACTCAACCCCCAATGCTTTCCCCTCCAGACTCACAGTGGGACTGGCAAGCTGGAAACCCCACAAGCCCCATTTCAAGCCCCTGGGGGAGAGTGAGACCTTGACTTAAAAGCTCAATAACCGTGATTTGGGCAAAAGAGTTTCTGAGGTTTCAGGGTTTGGCTCATGGGGCTGCAGCTTTTCTTCAGCCCCGTGAAAGGGAATTGGGGCATCCCAGGGGATTTATGGGATGCATCCCATTGCTCAGTTCCGCAGAGCAGTTCCTGGTGAGTGGGCAGGTTTGTCTCTGGCTCGAAGCCACAAGGAGTTATGGGTTGGTAGTTGCAGGATGTGGATAGCTTCACGAATGCTGCGATATCATCTGGTTTATAGCAGTTTAAGTCCCTAAAAGCAGGAGATAAGATCACAGGGATGGGATCAAAGGGTGCAGGACTCTGATCTCCACCTGGCAGCACTGGGGTCTGTGCTGTCAAAGCCCCTGAAAAAATGAAGGGCTCGATTGTAGCTCTCAGGAGCAGGGCTGACACACTGCAAGGCAGGAGGCTCAAGCCACTGTTGGTCAGGAAAGGGAACCCATCTCCCTGCACAGGAGCCGCTGGAGATGCTGATGAAGAAAGCAAAGGCTGATCACAGCATCACAGAATCATAGCCTGGTTTGGGTTGAAGGGACCCTAAAGCTCATTCAGTTCCAACCCCAGGGATGGGGCAGCCACAGCTTCTCTGGGCACCCTGTGCCAGCGCCTCAGTAGCTGTGAGTGAACAAGCAGCTGTATGGCGCTTCGTTGCCATCTGAGGTTCACCCCCCACAAACACCTTTAAAGAGAAGCCCAGGAGGTGGGAAGTGGGATGGGGAGCTGGGGGGATGCATAAGACATGGCCAGAAGCTGGAGAAATTATTCCATCTTCAGGAGGACAAAGAAGAAAATAGGGTGTTTTCTCCTGGTTGGAATGAGACTTCACTTGGAGGAGCACTGTGTGCAGTTCTGGTGTCCTCAACATAAAAAGGACATGGAACTGTTGGAACAAGTCCAGAGGAGGCCACGAGGATGATCAGGGACTGGAGCAGCTCCTGTATGGAGCCAGGCTGAGAAAGTTGGGGCTGTTCAGCCTGGAGAAGAGAAGCTGCGTGGAGACCTCAGAGCAGCTTCCAGTATCTGAAGGGGGCCTATAGGGATGCTGGGGAGGGACTCTTCATTAGGGACTGCAGTGACAGGACAAGGGGTGATGGGTTAAAACTGAAACAGGGGAAGTTTAGATTGGATATAAGGAGGAAATTCTTTCCTGTGAGGGTGCTGAGGCACTGGAATGGGTTGCCCAGGGAAGCTGTGAATGCTCCATCCCTGGCAGTGTTCAAGGCCAGGTTGGACAGAGCCTTGGGTGCCATGGTTTAGTGTGAGGTGTCCCTGCCCATGGCAGGGGGGTTGGAACTGGATGATCTTAAGGTCCTTTCCAACCCAAACCATTCTATGATTCTATGTTCTCCGAACTTCAGAGCTTTGGGGCAGCTCTTTGCAGAGCCATGCTGCAACCAGCTTTGTCATTTATTTTTCCTCCTTTTTTCCAATCCTGTCTCTGAAGGGCTGAAGTTTCTTGGGTCTCCTGGCGTTCCACTGACTGAGCTCCTGCTGGTTGAGCTCACATCTTTATTTCTGATGGGCTGTGCAGTGCAGGAGCAGGGGCGATGCTGCCGCTGCTTCACTTGGTGTTCAATCACACTCCAAAGCCTTTTAGTGCTTTGTGCATGCTGCCACAGGAGATGTCCTGGCTTAAGTAAGAATGAACCTAGGGAAAGGAAAAAAACCCTCAAAGTTCCCTTTACTACTCAGATGTGACTAATTCAGTGCTCTGGTACTGGGCTGATTGAGATGAGGATCAGACGTCACCTACAGCTTGATTCGTGGCAGTGGGATGTGATAGTGGGAAGCATGGGTGGGAGATCCCAGTTCCCCTGGTACGGGGGATAATTTGGATGCTACGTGGCATGTAGAAGTGGATCTGGAGGTTGTTCTGGCCTTCATCTGACCTCAAAACTCATATTCCAAAGAGGAATAGCAGCTGGAAGTTGGGAGCATGGTGCTTTTCCCTGTGGCTGGACATGGCACCAGCCCACCAGCCCCTGCAGTCACCCTAGGAGTCCTGCTGAATATTCCATGTCATCTCCTTTGTCTTGGAGAGAAAATGCCCCTTATGCCTTAATTCCACCCTTCCTGCCCATGCTGAACCCTTTTCCCTCAGGTTGGATTTACTGGACTTAGCAAACAGGGAGGA